CGGGGTCGGCGCCGGCCACCGAGACGACGACGGCGCGGGCTAGAGCAGCGCGCGCGCACTGCGCGTGAGGACGCGGCCAACGAGAAGCCGCGGGCTAGAGCGCCTCCGCCCTGCGCGCATGCGCCGCCCGCCCGCCCGCCCCGGGGAGGCGGCACGGGGCACCCGCCCGGCGGCCTCGCCGGACCTCGGCCCCGGGGGCGCGCGGCGGCCTGGGACCCCCGCGGGCCTGCGCTCTCCGCCCTCGCTCGGGCCGCGGGGCAGGGGAGCCCCGGCACAGCCCGCGTCTCGGCCGGCCCGGGAGGGCGCCAGCCGGACACGGCCCCGGGGGCGCGCGCCCCCCGCGCCGCGAGCGCAGGCCCCGCCCCCAGCCTCCCCGCGGCCCCGGGGAGCCCCGCCGGAGCGGCTGCAACGCCGAGCGGGGGCCGCCTGCCCAGAGCCCAGGGCCTCCGGAGGCCCCTGCCCTTGAAAGCACTCGCGGCCGCCGCCTCCCCGTCAGCTCCCCCCGCGCCTCCCCCCAGTCCCGCAGGGATGGCGCTGCAGCCACCCCCAGACCGACTTCAGGTGGGGAAGGGAAATTTTTGCCCCAGACGGACGTGGCGGGACGTTCAGAAGCCAGACTGAAGCGGCAAAAGCCGCCTCGAAGGAGCAGTGTGACCTAGGGGCGCGGTCTGAGCGGGACTTGCAGGCTGGGGCGTGGAAGCATCACGCGAGTCGCCCCCACAAAGGGGAGCAGCCCCTGGGCGTCGGAATGGAGACCCCAGCGTAACCAGCACCCATCTCCTGCAAGGTGCAGACCGCTCGGGGTGCTGCTGCAGGCCAGGTGTAGACAGGGACAGGTGGGCACCACAGGCGTGGCTGGTAGCAATTGGGAGGGAGGAAGCCGCTGTCGCCACAGTCCTCGCCATCCTCAGAATGCCGCCTAGGCGACGCGTGGAAAGGAACCCTCGGCGGCCCTTCGGGTCTTTCAGGCACCACCAGGACGAGCTGGCAGATAAAGGTACTACTGACTCGACCGCTGCCACTCCTGCTGCATTTCTGGAACTGCAGTTGGGCCTTCTTCAGTGGACCCCACCAGCTAAGGAACGCTCGCTTTCTAACACTTACGTTATAGCTAAACCCAGCAAATAAAACAAACTTGAAAAGGAGTCTCCAGTTGCCCCAGTTCTTCCCTAAATATCCCAGAGCATCAAAACCCCAGGGTTCCGTGGACAGTGGGAAGTGGCTCAGAGAATGGTAGGGACAGGACGCTGAACCACCCAGGCCTGTCTTTGTGAGAGTGCCAAGCGGTGGGCCCCCACTCCTGTGGCCCCAGGTTCTCCACCCCCACCCCACGCAAAGTCCAGAGGAAACTTGTAACACAGCCAGCCGCTGCCCGAGGCTCCCGCTCCCACTCCCATGCCGTGAGCCCCTGCCCCACCCTCTACAGGAAAACCCTGAAGCCAGTGTGCCTCCTTCAGGGTCAAGTGCCAAGGTGAGGAGCAGAGGCCTGAGGCCAGGCCCTCACCAGGGCGCCACCCACTCCCTGCGGATGCCCCACCCCTTCAAGAACCAGGTGAGACTAAGTGGGAGCAGCAAGCACACCTTTATTGTCACTCATGGGATGGAGGATCCGGCGTCCACGCTAGGACACAGGCCTGCGGTGGGGGCTAGGTCGGATCCCTTTCACCTGCACGACTCTTCCAGAAAATCACCCCAGTGCCCTCTGGACAGCAGCCAGCATGTCGCTGTGCCCCAGCCCTGCCCTCTGTGCTTACCACTGGGGGGGGGGGTCTCTCCTGACAGTTTGCTTCTCACCCTCCTCCAGGGGCCTGCCCACCTCTGTGTGGCATTAGACAGGCTTGACTGTCACTGAAAACGCACCACCCCCACCCCGCCCACTCCCTCCAGCAGCACCGGTTCCCAGGACCAGGTGAGGCACACTGGCTGACAGCTTCGCAGGGTCCCAGGAGCACCCACCGCTGGCCGGCAAGGGTTCCCAAGAGCATGGGCTCTGGGTCCTTCCGGAAAACAGCCGATCCCACCCTCCACCAGCCCTGCGGGTCCAACAGGGCAGCCCTACACCTGGGTGCCAGCACGGCGGGAGGGGGCGAGCCTCGGGCTGCCCAGGAAGGCTGGCTGCAGGTGTGCAGGGCCGTGCGTGGGCAGCAGAGGCGTCATCCCATCCTGGGCTTTAGACACAAGACCAGACACATGGAGAAGACCCTGGAAATCAGGCCAGGAAGGGCCAGCCAGCGCCCCCTCACAGGAGGCAGTGGGGTCCAGTCAGGCGGCTGCGGCAAGACAGGCAGGGTACCCTGGGTGCTGCCCCTGAAGCAAGTGTGTTCAACACATCTGGACCCTGCCCCCCCCCACCGCTCCTGCATCTAAACAAAGGGCAGACTTGAGAAGCCAAGGCTGTAACGAGCCTGAGGCCGAATGTCTTCTTTCTGGCTGGTTCCACGGTGCAACGGCCTCCACGCGCCCATCTGATAAGGAGCCAGGCAGCACCAGGCCTAGCACAGGGGACAGCGGCTGTGCGGTCACTCACTCGCCTCGCAGGCTGACGGCAGGGCCCCACGCGTCCCTGGGCGCCCCCTGGTGAGCAGGAGAAGGCACTGGCACTTCCGGGGGTGAGAGGCCCGAACCCCATCAGAAGCCAGGGCAGCCAGGAGGGCGCACTCAACTGGACTAAAACCCCCCCAAATGAAGGCCAAGCACAAGGGGCCTGTGTGAGGCCACGTGTCGAGGTGAGCGGCCGGCTCGACCTGTGCCAGCGTGGACAGTGTGTCCAATACGGCTTCGCCCTGCTCCGGCTGGGCTCGCCGAGACCAAGGGCAGGAGCCTCCTCTCACGGTGGGAGGAAGGAGACGTGCTCCGGAGCCTGGCTGGCGGAGAAAGTGCACCCCCAGAATAACTGCGGGGAGCTCCCTTGTTTGTGCCCCCGGAAGGCCCGCTGCCAACATGAGCCCGTTTCCGCCCCTCAGGCGCAGTCGGGGGATGGAGACGTCCACAGGGCACCCAGCGGCCGCGGGCCGAGGCCGGGCTCTGTGGCTGAGGGTGGAAGGAGGCCCGATGGGGGCAGGTGGCCCCCCCAGACAGCCCCGGATGTGCCTGGGGGAGAGCAAGGACACCAGGCCCGCCTGGCCTCCCTCCACACCAGCGCCCGGGAAGCAGACCTGCGGGGCCTCACCGAGCCCGGCGGACGACGGGCCCTCAGTGGGCAGGCCCGGCTGGACTGCTGGGATCTGAGAGGAAAACAAAAGCCTCCACCGAAACCCCTTGGCCCGCAGACGGGGTTCAGTCGAGAGCCCGCTGCTCTGCCCACGCACCCCTGAAAGCCGCCAGCACCCCCGGGGCCGAGGAACCCTTCGCCGTCCTCAGGGCGGCTCTTTCCCAGCGGGACCCCTCACGGGCCGGAGGAAAGCGAAGCTCTGCCCACCAGTCCTTGCCCATCCGTGACCCGGCCCCGCTTTCCTGCTCCCCACCCAGGCTCCTGCCCGCAGGCCCCAGCCCCTCCGCAGGCCCTCGCGCCCTGGCTGCAGAGATCGGCCTCTCACCTGGTCCCAAACACCTGCGTCTCCTCACCTAACACGGCGAACTGAGTCCCCGCCACCTCCCAGGGGCCCCTACCTAGCGATGCCCACACCTGCGAACTGCACAGGCGCTTGTCAGGGGCCAAGGGCTCTCCTCGACACCCCGGCCCAGCCCCACTTCGCCCTCAGTGGCCGCGGGCCTGAGACCTTGGGCGCTCCCCTGCCCCTGACACTGCAGGCCCCCCAACCCCAATGCCCCAAGAGCCGCCAAGTGGCCAGTGCTGGTGAGGCCACACCAGACAGCCTGCTGCGGTGCCAGGGTCCTCTGGGGGGCTGCCCGCACGCGCTTGTCCGCACCCCGCCTGCTGCCTGGCCATCCACGCGCGACGCGGTGGTCCAGCACTGAGTTTGGCCACTCGGCCTCTGTGGGTTGTCAGAACACACGGTCAGCCTGCTGACACAGCCCCTGGAGTTGGAGCCAGCCCTGCGGGCCCGGGGACGCGTCCCCTGCCCCCTCCCCTCTCACCCCCACCGCTTGGGCCTCATCTGAGGCCACCCCCAGGGCCTCACCCCCAGGGACACACACACCTGGTTGTGGCACTAGGCCCCTCCCTCTCCCGCCGCAACCCCCCTTTATCAGGCGAGAGTCCCCCAGGAAGGCCCCCTCTGGGGTTCAGGCCGGGCTGCCCTGGCTCGGGTGCGCCCTCGTTCACCCCCACGCTGAACGAACACCCCTGCGACTCGCCGCGTGGAGAGGCTCCGGCTCTGGAGGGCGCGCCCAGGGCGGCAGCAGGACAGCGCCAAGGGGACACCCGCGGCTCGCACCAGCTCGTCTGGGCAGGTGCCCCAGCAAGCCCGTCTCCTGGAGGGGGCGCTCCGAGGGCCCCAGGAAGAGCCTGGAGAGGAGCCCCGAGGTTGCCAGGGCTGGAGCGGACGGAAGAGGCGGTATTGGGGGCTCCGGGCTCGCCAGGAGGCGAGCCGAGGACGGAGCACGACGCGGGGGCCACAGGGGCCGGCGGCCCGGGGAGTCCAGCCAGGAGCCGGGCCGCGGGCGCAGACAGCCGCCGCTCTCCGCGGGGCGCGCAGGCCGGGCCGGGAGGCCCGCGGGGAAGGCCCGGAGGAAGCCCCCGGACGCGGCGGGCACGCGCTCCGCGGTGTCCCCGAGACCGGCCGCCTCCCCGCGCCCTCCACCGGCTCGCAGCGCGCGCCCCGCGACCCGGGAAGGCCCCGGGGCCGCCGGCGGGCCCCTCCGGGCACCACCGGCCTCCAGCCCGATCGCGGCGGCGGCCCAGCCGGGCGCGCCGACCCGCCGCGTCCCCGCGCAGACGCCGCCGCCCGCCGCGCGCCCGCGGCCCGGAGCCGCCTCGGCCTCGCAGCGCAGGCCCGCCCGGCGGCTCCCGGCGCCGAGGACGCGCCCGTCGGGGGGACCCCGCCTCGGGCGGCGCGGAGCGCCGGCGCCCCCCGCCCTGCCCCAGCCCGCGTGCTCACACAGACGACGGAAAGGACGCCGTGACCTTCGCCTCCGACTCGGCCTAGAGGTCGCCGCCCGGCGCGAGGCCCCCGCACCACGACTCCCCGACCGCGGCCATCTTGCCCGGAGGCGGCCGACGCCTTTTGACTCTCGCGCCAACCCGTAGCGCGAGGGCGCCGCGAGGGGGGCTCTGCGCAGGGCCGGAAGCTGACGTCCAGGCTTCCGGCGGGCTGGGCCCCGCCCCCGCGCGGGAGCCCGCGATTGGCTGCGGGCGCGTCGCCCCCGGGTCTCGCGAGAAGTGAAGGGGCGGCCGCCCGTTCGTCCGCCGCCCGCCCCGCGCGCCCCGCCGCCGCCGCCGCCGCCGCCGCGACCCCGGCGCCGCGACCCCGCCCTCCCGCCGGCCGGCCCGAGCGGCCCGAGAGCGCCCGCGGGAGCCGGCGCGCACGGTAAGATGGCGGCGGGCGGGGGCGGGGGCCCGAGCGCGCGGCCCCGCCGCGCCGAGCGGCCCCCGCCGAGCCGAGCGGCCCCGCCCCGCCGCCGCCCCCCGCGGCCCCGAGGCGCCCCCTGGTCCGCGGAGCGCCGGGCCCTGGAGGCTCTGCCGCCGGCGGCCGCGGACCTGCTCGTGGCCGGCGCGCGGGGTCGGCGCCCGGCCCGGGGCGCCTCTGCCCGGGCGCGGCCTGCGTGGCCCGCGAGCCCCGGCGGCGGCCCCGCGCCGGCCGCTCCGCCTCTGGCCGCGCCGGCGCCCTGGGGCGCCCCCGCCCACCCCCCGCCCCGCGCTCGCGGCTCGTGGCCGTCGCCGCCCCCGGCCAGCCGCGCCGCGGCCCGACCCCACCGCCCCTGGCCCGCTCGGCCGGCGATGCCCCGGCGCCCGCGGTGTCGTCCTGCTCCCCCCGCCGCCTCCCGCGCGCGGCCCGAGGCCTGGGCGGCTGCGGAGCGCCTCAGCGGTTCTCAGAGCCCGCTGCTCCCTCCCAGGAGGAGCCCAGGAGCCCAGGATGAGCTATGCGGAGAAACCCGACGAGATCACGAGAGATGAGTGGATGGAAAAGCTCAACAGCCTGCACGTCCAGCGGGCGGACATGAACCGCCTCATCATGAACTACCTGGTCACAGGTGAGCGCTGTGCGCCCGCGGCCTCGGGTCCATGGCAAGGCGCGACAGCCCGGGACCAGCTTCCCCAGGGCTCCCACGCTTCAGGCAGGGCCCGTGGTTTTCCCTTTTTTTTTTTTTTTTTAATATTTATTTACGGGTGTAAGAACTGGGGTACAGGCCAGAGGTGCAGGGGTGAGAGGATTCCCCAGAGACAGAGCGAGGAACAGAACAGGCAGATGGACTGAAATCCACCGCTGAGGGGAGCAGCAGGGAGACAGGAGAGGTCTGCTGCGCCATGTGGGTTGCTCCTGGCCGGCAGGGGATCGAACACATGCTGCAGAGGTTGCGGGGAGCTTGATGGCGCTGTCTCTAACTCCGGCGTCTCCAGGGAGGCCTTAGAGCCCATTTCTTGACCTTTGACATTTCCACGCTTGGGGCGTCAGGACATTGGGCGGCATGTGTGCGGCTTCCCCGGCTGGTCTGGTGAGTCCGACTGGACCAACCACAGGTGTGGCCGACTCCAGTAGGAAAGGGGCAGAAGCAGGGAGGAGGGGTGGGGGGCAGCGGTGATTTGGACCCCTGATGTGGGGAAGGACAAAGGCCGACTTTGGCCATGCTGAGAAAAATCCAGATATTTTTTAAAAATGTCTGTCCCCGTCAGCGTTCTCTGGGCAGTGAGGAGGCCTCATGTCCTGGCAGGCGGGACCCCGTGCCAGCTTGCCTGTGACTCACTGGCGGTGGCAGTGGCCAGGCCATGGCTTCCTGCCAAGGGGGAGCCAGCGTATCGCCCGCCTGGCCTGCGCCCGGCCTGTGGTGCCCAGCAGCGGGGTGTGAGTGCTGCCGCCCCCATAGCCTCACTTCCGGCTGGTGGGTCAGAGACACTCGGGGTCGGGGCTGGAAAGGAGCGAAGTGCCCGCTGCACTTGGCGCCTACCGAGCGCTGAGCCGGCAGGGGCCGCTATTGGGCCCACGCGAGGGGCCCACGTGGCCGAGACTGAGACCAGGCGAGGGTTTTGGCGCCGACGTCCCGACTTGTCCTGCAGAAGGCTTCAAGGAGGCAGCAGAGAAGTTCCGGATGGAGTCTGGGATTGAGCCCAGCGTGGATCTGGAGACGCTGGACGAGCGGATAAAGATCCGTGAGATGATTCTGAAAGGTCAGATCCAGGAGGCCATCGCTCTGGTCAACAGTCTGCACCCTGAGCTGCTGGACACCAACCGCTGCCTCTACTTCCACCTGCAGGTGAGTGCGGAAACCACCCAGTGCAGGGAGCGTGAGGCTGGTGGACGTGGGTGGCAGCTGGCGTGTCCCTGCGTGGCTCTTGCTTTGAAGCCACAAACCTAATCACTCCTGCCCGCGCTGCGGGATACCCCGAGTGGGCCCGTGCCAGGGCGCTGCACCACGCTGCGGCCCTGAGTCTTTTCCCCTCACACGCCCAGCAACAGCACCTGATAGAGCTGATCCGCCAGCGCGAGACCGAGGCGGCGCTGGAGTTCGCCCAGACGCAGCTAGCGGAGCAGGGCGAGGAGAGCCGCGAGTGCCTGACGGAGATGGAGCGCACGCTGGCCCTGCTGGCCTTCGACAGCCCCGAGGACTCGCCCTTTGGGGATCTGCTCAACATGATGCAGAGGCAGAAGGTACGGGGCGGCCTGAGGCAGCAGCCACAACCCCCAGTCAGGCTCCGTCTCCACCTTCCATGCCGGCCGGCCTCGTCCCCGTAGCCTGTCCATGTGGGCACGGGCGCCCTGCTGCCTCCAAGACGCCCTTCTCCAGGGCCCTGCCTGCCGCACTGGCCCACCATGGGGTCTTCTGGGGGCTCCTGGCCTGGTTCAGGGCAGTTTGCTGCCATCCCACCTGTGTGTCAGGCCCCCCGGGTGCCCATGTCAGGCCTTCCTTCTCGTTCCTGTAAACACGCAGCTGCGTCTGTGCCCCCTGGGCCCAGCCCGTGCCGCTGCTGACGGGCCCGTTTCCTAGGTGTGGAGCGAAGTCAACCAGGCTGTCCTGGATTACGAGAACCGCGAATCGACGCCCAAGCTGGCGAAGTTACTGAAGCTCCTGCTCTGGGCGCAGAACGAGCTGGACCAGAAGAAAGTCAAGTACCCCAAGATGACGGACCTCAGCCGGGGCGTGATCGAGGAGCCCAAGTAGCCGGCCAGCGTCTGGGACCCGAGTCTCCTCTGCGGTGGTGTCCTTGGTGGAGGGACACAGCCCGTGGCACTAGGAGGCCCCGAGAGACGCTGTGGCCCCCGTGGACGGGGACAGCTGGCTCAGGGCGGGACCTGCCCTGGAGCCGCTCCTGCCCCTCCGGCCTTTGTCTGTGCTGTCTCGCGCCCCCGGGGAGAGGCCGTGTTAGCGCAGAAGTCCCGACTCCGAGCTCTCTCGTGCGCAGGGCCGCGTCCGGCTTGTCCCTCGGTCTGGCCGTGCGGCTCGCCGGGTGTGCGTGCAGGGCTGTGTGCTTGTTACCTTTCTACGTAGATACTTTGGTGCTGTGTGTGGTGAGAGTCTCCGGTGGGCCAGCGAACCAGCCCTTCGAGGCAGCTTTGTTGAAAATAAAGGTTTCTTTTTGATTTCAAGAATAACCGAAACAGCCTTGACACAGCTTGGGTCGTCCTGCATCTGGCGCGGCCTGCCTTCTCTGCGGACGCACGTCCCTGGGGTGGGGCACAGCGCGGGCTACCTGCCCCCAGCTCGCCGGACATGGGGCCATGTGTGCTGGGCAGCCCAGGTGTGGCCACTGGCATCTCCTCTGGCGCCAGCGGTGGGTTCTGGGGTCCTCACAGTTCCCCCACACCATCGCATCCCTCAGCTCCCCGCTGCTTGGGGCTGGGCCTCGGCCCTCCCTCCACCAGCTGCTCCTGCCCGGTGGGCCTGGCACCAGGTCAGTGGCTGGGTTGGGGGCCCGCACGCCTAGACACACCCGCAGGGCCTTGTGCCCTCCACCCTGCCGCCCCAGGCACCGCGCGTGCTGTGCTGCTGGGCGAGGTCACGCCGAGGGGCCAGGAGCAGCCTGCCCCGGCCCGAGCGTGCCCTGGACTGTGGTGGGGGGTGTCCTCTGACCCACGCCGTGACCGCCAGCAGCGATTTCCTTGGAGGCGTGAGGTGGGGGAATCTCGGCCTTCATGTGACTGACAGGTGTGACCTCCCAGGAAGGGAGCGCCAGGGACCTGGGGCTGGGGTGCCCCTAGTTGTCTTCATACTGGTGGGTTCCGGACGGGCTCCATCTCCCACGGGAGGGTGGGAGGCGCCAGGCTCCTGCGGCCTGGACAGGCTGCTCTGCCTGGCTGCAGAGGTGGAGGGCAGGGCCGGGGGATGGGGAGCCCCAGGGCCTAGGGGCGACCACCAGGTGCTGGGAAGTCTGCTCCTCTGAGGCAGGCAGCAGGGCTCCAGCGGCCAGCCCGACCCCTTTTCTGGCTCAGCCCTGGGACTGACTGCCTGTTCCCGGGTCCAGGTGTGGTGGGCGTGTGCCTGGGTGGGCACCTGCTCGGGACCACGGGCTCCTGGATCTCCGTGTTCAACCTGATGGCCTCCATCAGTAGCCTGAGGCTCTGTGGCTTCCTGCTGTTCGGAAAGGCCCAGCAAGTGGACCTCAGTGTCCCCGCAAAGTCCCTAGCTGCACACGTGCCGATGCCTGCCACGGACCCCGTGGCTGCAGAGGCTGGGCCCACGCGAACAGGGCAGGGGCGCCCGTTAGGCCTCAGCCTCCAGGGCCTCGGTTTCCCCACATGGGGGTTGCGGGGTTGGGCTCAGGAGCCAGGGCACGTGCAGCAACAGCTTTTACGGGCACCCCCTGTCCCTTTGGGTCTGGAGGAGCCTCCGCTCAGCGTGGCCAGCAGTGTGGTCACTGGGGGCCGGACCCTGGACTCCCCAGCCTGATGTGGGGGTTTCCTGGAGCACCATGGGTGATCAGCGGCATGCCCCGCCCCCAGAGCAGGAGCCCCATGTTGGCCAACCTGTCCCCTGATGTCACGAAGGGTGGGGGATCCCCACAAGAGCAGGCCGAGCGCCCCAGTTTGACAGGCCTTGTCTGTCTCTGAGGAGCTGCCCTGTGGATCCTCCGGGCCCCTGGGGACTGTGGGAGCCCCAGAACTGGGTAAACCCCCTCCTCATGGTCACCACCTTTTCCTGGTTGAAGGGCTGGCACCTCATGAATCAATAGCAGATTTTACAAGGTGTTTGTGCAGAGAAAAGGCTATAGAGATGTGGAACCCACGCCGAGGCCGCAGTTAAGGGACATTGTTAAACCGGCCGCGCGGAAACCAGCCACGGGCGAGAAGACGCTGCCCCAGCCTCCGGGGCCTCCGCTCGCAGCTCACACTCCTGCCGCGGCGGGCGGGGCCTTGGCCCCCACTCACTCCCTCCTCCGGGCCCTCAGCCCGCCCCAGAAGCAGCCCCGCGCACGCGTGTGTCCGTGAGTTGCGCGTCTCGAGAGTGACTCCTGCGTGTGCGGTGTCTGCGGGCGGGTGTCCATGTCAACGCCTGGGCCCAAGACCCGGCCTGGCCCCTGGAGGGCCTGGTGCTATGCCCCACACTGACCGGCAGAGGGCGCGCTGTGTCCTCCACCCCAGAGCAGCTGCTGGGGGGCACCAAGGCCTCTGCCTCCCCGCCAGCCCCTGCACCCCCTCCCAGTGTTCTCTCCACCACCCCACCCTCCACCATCCCTCCTGTCCCGCCACTGTCCTCAGGGGACTGTGGCCCCTCAGCCCTGGGACCCCAGGTCCTGCTCCCCCTCCCAGCTGTCTGGGGGAGGCTGTGTTTAGAGCTGAACTCAGGGCGGCCTGCACCCCACCTTCCGGCCTGCTGACCCAGACGGCCCCACCCAGGCAGGGAGTGTCCTCCCCCTCCCCTTCCCCTCACTGTAGGGTGGCCCTCGGGTCACATAAGTGACCCTTTCCTGTTTTTTCTTTAAAGCAGGCGCCTTAATAGCCACTAATGTTCCTAATTAGCATGCCAGGGCCTCCTGGGGCGCCATCTCCCGCCCGCCCTGCCTCCAGCTGCGCACCCAGGGCCCTGAGGCTGCTCACCTCCAGATCCTGCCCCGGGCACCCGCGAGGGCACCTCCAGGCACCCAGCTCTGCTCCCTGCGCCTGCCTGCAGCGCCCCTGCCCCGCGTTCTCGGGGAGGCGAGAAGGGCTCTGGCTGCTTAATGAGAAGCGGGGAGCCGGCGCCAACGTGCAGTGGGGGCGGCCGGCGTGACAGTCCAGGGGTTGCGGCGGGGAAGCCATTAACTGAAACAGCCTCATTAACTAGTAATTAGCAGCGGGAAGTGGCCGCAGCACCTCCTTCTCCGCCAGGCCCTTCAAGTGCTAGGGCCGTCAATTAAGGGACGTGCATTTTGATTAAAGGCAGGCCGGCTGAGGCCTCCAGAAAACTGAGCCGCCCTCCCCGCCTTCGAGGGCTGCCTGGGCCTCCTCCATCCGCCCAGCCCAGCCCCGGGGCCCGGCCAGCGGCAACCCCATCCGCAGAAGCACAGCGGGCAGCGCTGCCCTCCCTGGCCTGGGCTCGGCGTCTCCTCCCGTCCGCAGCAGGGGCAAGGAGGCTGGGAAGGAGGTCTCCGCTGGCGGCGGGGGGCACTGGCCTGTCCTCCCACGCCGCGGGGGACCGCCCTCACTTGCTTTCTGATTGACTGCGCACCAGACCCAAGCACCCCTCACTGGCTGCTGGGGCCGAGTCCAGAGCGCCCCGCCGGCGGTCAGGCTGGGCGCTGTGTCCAGCTCTCTCCGGCACGGCCCCGCAGCCCCCAGCAGGCACCCACAGAGAAAGCCTCGCAGCCCTCCGGGAAGCCTGCCCGACCCCGTCACACGCGGGGTGTGCGGGGGGTGGCCTGTCCTGCTCCAGCCCCTCCCGCCAGCCCTGACTTCAGGAAGGGATGGGAGCGTGGACCCCAAAGACAGGCCAGCGGACACACCAGAGAGGAGGCCACTCAGCAGATCTGACCGTGGACCCACCAGCACACCCGGGCCTCCCCTCCCCGACCGCCCCACGCCACGGGCACTCAGACCCCCAGAAAGCCCAGGAAGCGGGACTTCGGGCCAGGTCAGGTGAGAATGCGGCCCCCTGCAGCCAGGGCGGGTCTGGGAGAGGCCGATGGGTTCCTGGCCAGGACGGCAGGCAAGTGTCGCCATCCTGGGGGCCGGGGGGCCCACCCAGCTCGTCCCCACGCCCTCTCTTCCTCATGCCTTGCGCTGTCCGTGTCCGGCTCCCTGTCCGGTCCCACTGGACCAGGCCCCCCGCGGGCCCCCTTTTGCCTCCACTCCAAATGCGGTGTCATCCGAGGGGCCGCTCCGCCCAGTCAGTGTGGTGCCTCTGTGTCCAGTCGCCCCAGGCGTGGCTCCCAGGAGACTGCAGGGAGCGCAGGGGGGCTGGGCTGCTGCCAGCTCAGTTTTTCCCTGCCCTCCAGCGCAGGGGCCTCCTGCTCCCGCACAAGTCCAGTGCGACCTCTGGGCAGCAGAACAGGTCAAAGACCCTGCGTGGCGCCGGGAGGGCAGGGGCGTTTGGTGGACAGGCTCCCTGTCCCTGGGAAGAGCTAGATGGGCCGGGGCAGGGCCAGGGCAGCAACCCCCCCCCCCCCCGCCGGGCAGGACTGGCCCCTCAGCACAGCGGAGCTCCCCGGGTCCCCTGCGCCCACTGATCTCTCCGGATTAACGCTCTTTGCTGGAGTCAGCGCCTCAGGCAGCTGCCCAGCGGCCTCGCCCTAGAGCCCCGACGCCAGCACCTGTGTCCTGCCCGGCCGCGAACTCAGCTTCTCTTCCGCCCTCCAAGATGGATCCACACGTGCCCACGGGCGGGGCTGGCTGAGCGCCCAGCGCCCAGCGCCCAGCGCCCTACACCATCCGCAGCTCTGACCGATGCACCCGGCCTGCCAGCCCATCCAATGTGGGCCCCTAGGAGGCCCCGGCCCTCCCACCCGGCAGAGCCCTGCCCATCATCCTGGATGCTCCATCCATGCTGGGTGGTGGCCATGAGCAGCTGGTCGGCCCTGGGGCCAGCATGGCTGGTCCTGGCAGCTGCTGCTCCTCCTTCGGCTCAGAGACCTCCTGGAGCCCATCCCGCTCAGCCCTAGAGGTGGCCCCCTGGCCACACTGCCCCAGCTGGACCCCGCGGCAGGCGCTGGAACGGGAGCTCCCTGGTGGCTTCAGAGCAGCTCAGAGAGGGCTGGCAGCGGCCTCCTGGTGGCAGGCAGTGAGCGGGGCACAGCGGGGCCCTGGGGCCCCAACTAGCCTGGCTTTGGCAAGAGAAACCCAGAGGGACCGAGCCTGAGGGGCAGGGTCCAGGCAGGGACCCCCGGAGCCACCCTGGCCCTCGCACCTCGCTGCACCATCGCCCCCGGGGCCGGCCTCCCCATGGACCCCACAGATCCCCGCAGAGACACCGTCCCGCACTCACCCCGAGATGCAGCAGGGTTTACAGGACAGACGTGTCCTCAAGCTTCGGCCAGCACCCCTTTCTGACAACTTTTAAACAAAGTGGCTCAGGGCTCAGGTGTCCGCCGTGCCCGCTGCATGGGGGCAGTGCCAGGGGCCCTTCTCACCAACAGGCCCTGGCGCCTGCCACGGCCCCTGCCCTTGGAGCGGGATGCCCGCCCATCAGCCCTTGCCGGAGGC